TTCTACATAGGTTTGTCTCTTCTTTTTATATGTCTTTGCTTTTTATACAAAATAATGTGTTTTTATCTTTTTGAAACTTACTGTATAGGTAATATGTATTTACTTTGGAAAAAAGCTGGAAACTAAAGATTAAGAAGAGTAACATTATTAAAAGAACCAATAATCACAACATTTAGAGAGAATGCGTGTATAATCTTTCAGACTTTTTTTTTTGCTATATGTGCTTTCCATGATAGTTTACATATATATAAGAGTAGTTTAAAATTGTTTTTTTAATGTTTATTCATTTTTTGAGAGACACAGAGAGATAGATCATGAGCGGGGTAGGGCAGAGAGAGAGAGGGAGACACAGAATCCGAAGCAGGCTCCAGGCTCCGTGAGCTGTCAGCACAGAGCCGGACGTGGGCTCACAAACCATGAGATCATGACCTGAGCCGCAATCGGGTGCATAACTGACTGAACCACCTGGATGCCCCTATACTTTTTTAATATTATAAATAATACGTCTTTGTATGCATCTTTAATTATTTCATTAGGATAGATGCCTACAGTTGGATTTGCTGAATTGATAATACTTTTTCAGGTCTTTATAGAATGCCACGTTATGTTGTGGGAAGCCCGTGCTGCTTTATACGTTCTCCCGCACGGTGTAGGCGTGCTTTGTCTCGCTCGTTGTTTTTTGGTTTTGTTTTTGTGTTTTTTGAAAAGCAGAAAACGTGTGTGTTGAACGGTGTATTAAAATACTCTGGACTAATTTCGACACGCACGTGGTAAGAAATCCGAGTGGGGAGGGTGAGAGCAAGGTGTCGAGGCGTCCTGGAAGCGGTGTCTGTCCGCTCGCCTGGCATTCCGGGCGTGTGCAGGTCTCTGCAGCCCGGTCAGTGCGCGCCGTCCGTCCTGCTCCTGTTGTCTTCAGCTGTGCAGCCTCGGTGTCATTCCGCTTGTGTTCGTCTGGGCCGTCTCATTCTCTTCAACAACCACACGGTCACCTGCAGACGCACGTGCGGAAGTCGGCAGGCTACCGTCCCTCTTCTAAGTGGCCTTCAGCTTTTCGTAGATACAAGGCTGCGGTGAGCAGCGCGTTCAGTTCCAGATCTGGTCCCTGGGACTTGCTCGGAACTCCTTCCCACGTCTAAAATTACTTTGCAAGGCCCTGCCGCGTCTCGCAGTGCAGGTGCACGTGCGGCGTGGCACCCGCACCCGTTGCACCTCGCGGGCGCTCACACCGATCCCTCGGTTCCGGTCCTCCTGTGGGCCTTGCGCTTGCCCCCCGGCTTGGCCCGCGTGTCCGTCCTCTGCAGTCGGCACGCCCCTCCCCTCCCTCTGCCTTGCAGTTGTCCCTGGAATAGTTCCACAGCCACCTGCTGGGACCGCTGTCCGCGAGCCCGGGAAGCCTCGTCCATCTGGGGAAGTCAGCGCCGGGCTCTGGCGTCCAGTCCGCTTCTGTTTCACGTCCGCCCCTTTCCATCTGATTAAGCACCCGCCCTGGCTTTGGGTTCAGTGAGTGTGACCACACAGCCCACAGCAGAGTAGGGATTGAGGGGCGAGGGGGCGTTCGGTTTCGAATATCTGCAAGGTAGCCTACTAGTAGAAGTCGAGATGACACAGAGAGTGGCATCAGAACTGCCGCCTCCCTCTGCCCGGTCCTCTCGCGGCTTCGTGGGGGTCACCACCTCCTCGTCCTCCACCGTGGTCTTTGCCGTGGTCCTCTGTGACCATAAGCAAATTTCGTATATTTCCTGTTTTCCTTTTCTGGTTTGTTACTAATGTGAACTTTAGAATTTTGCCTAGTTAGAAATCGGTTGGTATTTTTATTTTGTTTGAATTACATTTTTAGATTGTTACGGCTGAAAATTGAATGTGTTTACAATATTGAATCTTTGTTGTCAAAACATCTCAGTAATGTTTTATTCAGTGTATTATTTACACCCTTAAGTATTTTAAGATTTTTATTAGCATCGTTTAGGGTTTTTTTCTGCTTGTGTTTGTCGTTCATCTGCAGGAAAGCGACTCTGTATGTGAGCCTTTGTACCTTGCCATTCTGCCCGTTTCTCTGTAAGCTTTTAGCTCCACAGCCTCGTCCAGAAATAGTAATCGGGTGATAAGACGTTTTGTTTTCACTAGCATGTGGGGGGAGCGTCTCCGATAAAACCAGCTTCTGATCCTGTGTGTCGTCATGGTGTGTAGTCAGTGGTAGCATATCCCCTGACTTTTTATTCTGAAAAAGTTCACACTTGAGACGGGTCCAGTGAGCGCCTGAGAACAGTGAGTCCTTTACCTGGATCGCCAGGCACACCTCTGTCCCCCCGGCCCCACCGCATTGTCCCACCGCTGTTGCCCGTCTGAATGCTTGAGTGTGGCGTCTCCTGAAAGCAAAGACCATTTCCCTCGCCGTCACAGAACAGTGGCCGCGCTCCAGAATTTAACACTGCTGTAGGGACTCATCCTCAGAGGCGGCACCTAGCAGAGCAAGGGGTGACCCCCTGTGGGAGGGCTCACGGGGAGGGAGGGCACGGGTCTGGGGTGGACACCCGGCGGCTTCTGCCGCACTGGGCAGACTTCCCAACGTGTCTCAGTAAGTTTTTTCGGAGGCCAAAACCTAAGAGTTCCTTCTTTCCCTCCCCTCCCCTCCCGCTTTTTTCTTTTCTTTTTCCTTTCCTTTCCTTTCCTTTCCCCTTTTCTTTTCTTTTCTTTTTTCTTTTCTTCTCTTTCCTTCTCTTCTCTTTTCTTTCCTTCTCTTTCCTTCTCTGTTCTTCTTTTTTCTTTTCTTTCAAGTACTTAGATCCAAACAGCATAGTGAGTATTGGTCTTACTGAGTTGTGTGAAAGACTTCCGTGCACGGATTACGTGCTGCACAGCTTTTTGAACCCTGGGATTTCCCATTCCACACTGATTGTCACTCAGTCCCTGCTTCTAACCACAGCAGGTACCGAAAGCCACTTCGCAAAGGTCTGATGACAGTGGAGCTGAGTGTCTGGAGCCGCTCGTGCGTCCGGGACCGGACAGCAGTGAGCATCGCACAGCCCTTGACAATGCCCGCTGTCCCCGGCCCCGTCGTGACTTTGCCCTGGGGCACCCGGTGCCCCGTCCACAGCTTGGGCCTGTGGCTGGCTAGCCTCATTCTTCTCGGTGAGGTGGGAGCACTGCTCTGTCTTCATGAGGCCAAGAGCCGAGGCAGTTGGACACAGAGCGGGCGATAAGAGCGGAGCCTGATCAGAGACGCGAGCGGGGCGGTGGTGCAGGTGACGCGTGGCTCGTTGCTGAGAACGGGCCAGCGTGTGTTGGGTGCGAGCGAATGGCTGTGTGCAGCCTGGTTAGTGCTTCTGGAGCCTGTGTTTTGTGGGCAGAAAGCGTCTGGGCTGGGGTGTGTGTGGGTCCTCCTGCAGGATCACTCAGGCGGGGGCGAAGCGGGCCGGGGCGCCTTCCCCGGGGCACCCGCTCTGGCCCCTCGCGGCCACCCGCGGCTCCCTGACGGCCACACTCCCCGTCCTCCCCTGTAGCGCTTCTTCGGAGTGGCCTTTTGCAGTCGGCTTGGACCCTGACAGTCGCCTCTCGCTGGCAGGAGTTCTTAGTTCCTCGTACGTAACTTTCGGAGTCGTCCGTTGGTCGTATTTTCTCTTGCACACGCTTCGTCCGTATCCCTTCCCAGGTGGTTCCTCCCAGTGGAGCTCACCGTCCTTCCCTCTGATCACGGTCTACGGTTTAACTTCCCTCGTGTCAGGTGTTGTTAGGCTGCAAGACGAGGCCCCGCCTGCAGGCAGCTGGTCCCACCTGACCCTCAGCGTCTTTGCCTTTTACTGTTACGGCTGTGACAATGTCAATGTTCCGTACTTTCCGACTCTGTTACGGTTTTTCTAGAAAGTCTTCTGAGAGACGTGTCTTCCTGAGATGAGGGGACTCCACGTTTCTCTTGCTGCTGTCCCTGCGATCTGGCTCCTGTCTTTGAGTATAGCAGCCGGTCTCGGATCGTGAAGGATGGCGGGAGGGGAAGGGCGGCCACCATCGGGGAAGAGAGGTCTGCGGCACGTGCAGGGACGCGTGGGTGCCCTGTGTGTGCCAAGAAGGCTTCCGGAAGCTGGAGGCAGATACTCGGTGACCTGACTTAGTAACCCCACGCCGGGCAGGAATTTGTGTCTGGGGGGCTTTCCAGGGGCACAGGAAAAAGGGTTTGCTGTGCTCACTTCAGGTGTGAGAAACGTGTTGGCCTTACGTGAAAAGGAGGGAGCTCGTTCTTGTCTTGAAAGCTTGTATCAGGCTCCATCCGGGTTCTGTATCCGTCGCTCACCTGTCTGGCCCCGTGCAGCTCAGAGCTGTTAGGGCCGCGCTGCCCCCTAGGCTGTCCAGGACCCCCTCTGCTCTCCTCTCTCTTTGAGGTAACCCTGTCGCGTGGTTCGATGAGGAGGACGAAGAGGGCTTCTCCCGACAGGCACCGTCCTCACGCGGGCTGGTGGCGGGTGAGCAGGATTGGGAGGTGGAGTATTTGGTCGGGTAGGAAATCTGTTACTGTGTAAGGAAAGTCTAGGTATTGGACCACAGTTCTCGGTCTTTCCCACATATGTGAAAGTAATACGGTTTTGGCTGCCTTTCTCTGTGCGGTATGTTTGTATTTCTGGGTGATTGTAGAAGAATATGGTGTATGAATGTGACTCCAGGCAGAAGTCCTGTAGTCAGTCACATGCAGAAATAGGCCGTAAGAATCCAGCTAACACGGAGAAGCCCTTCGTCCCAGGCCCCCTCACGGCTGAGATGCCTGGACGAGGGGGAACCCGCGGGTGGAGAGGGCCGGGGGAAGTGGGCGGAGGGCAGGCAGCTGGAGGGCGGGCCTCGGCTTCTGTCTTTCTTCCCCTCCCCCTGGGCGGGTTGCTGGAGGAGCCTGGTGCCCCTGCCAACACCGTAGATGAAAGCTGCTTCCCCGTAGCCAAAACCGGCAAAAGAGTGGCCACCGTGGGAAGTCTTTCTGACGATGCCCACCCTGCTCCGGCCACATACCAACTGAAAACCCGCTCGGCAAGGCTTCCGGTGATCTTTCACCACACCCCGTCCCCGTTCTCAGGAACAGATGGCCCTCTGATCCCGTGACCGCCTGGGAATATGTAGGAGCTGATCCCGCAGCCCTCCCCTGGTCGGAGGCGGCACCCAGGTTCCCCCACCTGATGGTGCCCGTGGAGCCGGGCTGGGACCTGACCTCCCATACTCTGTCTGGCAGGTGCAGGCAGTGGTCCGATTCTCTGCCCAGATAGTGTCCTTTGAGCCTCACCGCACCCGGCCGCAGCAACATTGAACCAGTTGGCGCAGGAAGGACTAGTCTGCCCTGGGCTTTCCACCCGTGGGGTCAGCGGGGCCCTGCGAGGTGAGCCTCTGCCTCTGACCTGGTCCTGTGCTGCATCTAAGCAGAGTGACTGCGTGCTGAAAGATAAGCGGAGATCTGGAGTCTACAGCATAATACCCAAAGTGTCCAGGATACAGTTGAAAGTCATCGAGCGGACCAAGAGCCTCGATAGTTCCAACTCTAACGAGGAAAGACAGCAAATACCAACACTGAAATGACCTGGCTGTTGGAATTATTCGGAAGGAATTTTAAAGCAGCCATCCTAAAATTGCTTTACGAATGGTTTTGAAATAAATGAAAAAAATGGAAGAGCCAAAGGGAAATGATAGAGCGGAAAATGCAGTGATTGAAATAGAGAACGCAGTTGAAGGGCTCAGCCGTGGAATAGAAATCCCAGAGGCACCTGAGAAGGCCAGGGGCAGACAGCAGCCTTAGATGCTGGAGCCTGGAGGGTGTGAGCGCGTGACTGAGAGATGGGGCGGCAGGGAAAGATCATTCGGTGGCCCCAGGGCTGGGGAGACGGAAGGACAGGTGTTACAGGGGGAGTGGTCTCAAGGCAGTTAGTATTATCATATTTTATACCCTGACTTGTAAAAATTCTGTCTTCCGCAAGGTGGAGGCTGATTAGAATGCCATGCATTTCCCTTGACGATTTCTGCTTGCCCCTTGTCAGTGAGGGAAGCTACGCAGAAAGGTCTGTTCTAGGGGAGGAAGCAGTCGTCACTTCTAGCCTCAAAGATTGCCGTTAGCTCTGACTATGACTATGGAGAATGCGGCACGGTGAGAAGACCCTTAGCTGTCCTCCGTGGCTCGAGGACAGGCTCCTTGTCAGGCTTCTGCAAGTGTCGCCAGCTGGCGGGAGGGCGGAAGGCGTGTCCTGGCTCCTTGGGCTTTCCCGGCGTGAAGCAGAGACCATGATGACGCTCTCCATCGCGTGGCCTCTTGCTTTGGCCCAGGGGGGTGGTTCTTGCCCTTGCTCTTACCAAATGAGCAAACTGCATAACCAGAGTTTTCACTCAGAGAACTGACAAACGTAGAGCTCTCCTAAAATATACTACTCTGATCATTTGGTAAAAAGGTGAGTCAAAAGAGGATGGGTCTGAGCCAGAGCAATAAAAGAATAAGGTGAGGACGGGGCAGAGTGCTGGGGTCAAGTTTTATTTCACAGTGACAAGATGGGAGGCCCGGGGGAGTCCTTAGTGAACGCGAATATTTTGCCATACAAATTGAGGAGCGTTTTCTAAAAGATGCAGCAAATTAGGTGTATTTTTTCTTTTTGACAGTTTCCGGGAGAGAGTTTTCTTACTATCAACAAGATGCTAACGATTTGGTAGTTCCTTATTTCCTTAAATTATTATAAAAGAATACTAACTTAAAGTTCTTTGAGTTGAAATCATTATGGGGTTGCCCAATATATTCCATTCATCCCTGTCTTTTCCTGCTAAGGATGCTCTCAGTGTCAGTGAACCAGCTCATTTTAATAGGGTTTACGCACATCCACAGGGCCATTATGTATAGTAAATGGAAGAAAGTCTGTTGAAAAAAATGGTTATATGTTTTGTTATTTGGAGGCGATAGTTTATGCTCATTGACGGGTTACACTCACTTTTTCCCCCTTGCTGGGACAGTTTATTTTGTGGATCATTTAAAAAATTGTATTAGGAACTCTGAATGGGGAAGCTAATCAAACCTCGTGCTCAGTCAGTAGCCCCTACTGATTCGTGTCATGCTGAGTTCTTCCTCTGTGCCGCGCTCTGTGCGGTGTCTTTAGAGTACCGGTGAGGGCAGGTGTTACTGACATCCGTGTTTCACACACACAGTGGTTAACACCCAAATGCACGTGGCTCGTAACTGGCAGGCTTCACGTGAACCAACGCAACTCCAGAACATCTGGACCAGTGTTACCTAATTGACATACGACTGATTTAAAATGTATAGTAAGTAGTCCTACTACAAAAGAAAAAAAAAAATTTTTTTATTTTGGTATATTTTGTATTGAAAATATATCCAAAATATTATTCACATATTAAAAGTTACTGACCTGTCTTATGTTCTTTGCTTTTTGCAGTAAGTCTTTGAAATCCCGTGTGTATTTTATACGTCCTCACGGCACTGTTCAGACCACACCTGTTTCACGTACGGAGCAAGCCAGGTCTGGACAGAGTCCCAGGCTTTTCTGTGATAGACTCCCTGTAAACAAATTGCAACAATGAGAAATGTTTCCATTTAAAAATTTGCCAGCTGTTTTGTTTTAAGGTAGTCTATTAAACTATAATCTTAAATTGTGTCCTGACCCTTCTGTGGAGGTGAAGTCGTCCTGCCTCTCTAATGTGTCCACAGCACAGAAGGACAAGATGCCAGTCACAACAGCCAATTGGAAGCCGTTCACTTTGCCCAAAAATGGCAGTGTTCTCTCATCCCTTTCCCTATGTTTCTATCTTTTACTTCCAATAAAGATTATTTTTATATACTCACATTTGGACATAATGATGTATTTTTTGAGGCGAAATCGTGCTTGTTCCAGAGGAAAGTGTAATCTGTGTATTGACTGTTCCCCACACCAGTTCTTGTAAGAAGTGATGGTTTTGAAACGCTTGCTCTGCTCACGAATGGTCTTTGCTGTTGCAGAACCTCATCTGCTCGGAGTGTGGGGATGAGTTCACCCTGCAGAGCCAGCTGGCCATCCACATGGAGGAGCACCGCCAGGAGCTGGCCGGGAGCCGCGTGCACACCTGTAAGGCCTGTAGGAAGGAGTTCGAGACGTCATCACAGCTGAAGGAGCACATGAAGACTCATTATAAAATCAGGTATGAGCCGGGGCACCTGCGGGGGTCGGTCGGTTGAGCGTCTGACTTCGGCTGACATGATCTCACAGTTCGTGGGTTCGAGCCCCACGTCGGGCTGTGTGCTGCCAGCTCGGGGCCTGGAGCCTGCTTCGGATTAGAGCGAAAATTTTAAATAGGCAGCAGGCTGTACGGGTAGAGATTTTTCGCTAGTATAGAGTATTAAAAGTTGTAGAACAAGATCCTGGCAATACGTTTTTACAGGTAAGTAACAGGGTTCAGATGAGCACCCTTTTTCATGAATCGCTTTATTTACATCGTCTGTTTAGAACATTTATGTTCTGAACACTGCGCTTAGCGTGTGTATAAAAACACATAAATAAAGCTTAGTTTAATCATTACGAGCACCCCTGTAAGACCGGGTTGCCTTGCGGATGAGAAACCCGAGACTCCGGGACCAGGTTACTTTCCCACGGTTGTACAGCGCCGAAGTTTCCAGTGTCAAGGAATCAAACCCTCATCGTCTGCTTTCAGAGCTCATAATGCTGGCAGCATGAGTGTGCTTAAATACCTGTGTGCATTTGCTTCCAGTAAAACTTAACACCTCTTTCAAAGTTTCCTGTTCGATTTATTCCTGATTGTGTATTCTTGTTGCAATTTCACTTTCTTGATGTAATGAAGACGGGCTCTTCCCGGCCTGTGCTCCCGGGGCCTGGTGTCGATGCTTACGTGTCACGCTCGCGGAGCTGAGTTCTCCGCCAGACCCTGAGAGCCAGCGTCCGTTTTCTTGTTACCTACCCTTGTCACTTTGGCTCGCCACCGTTCCAGCCCCAAAGCTTAGGGAATATGCAGACCCTTAAATAACAACTACAGCCACAACCAGAGTGTCCGCAGCGGTAAATAAAGTGTGTGCACCGCGGACTCGGCAGGGCTCGTGTATCCTCTCGGGCGCTGTGGTTTGGATGTGGGGCCTGCACCCCATGTGGGGTCAGAGCTCTCTTCCCCTTCCCGCTCCCTCCATCTTGCCCGTTGTTGATGATGCAGAGCCCAGCGAGGACGTCACCGTTTGAGCCGTGCTGCGTGTGCCCCGTCACACTAGAGTTTTATTCTGATGAGGTTTTAGCGCAGGCGGTTTTGATGTGTCTGGGAGGGTTTTGGAGAGATGATTAAGGGTGACTGGGTGGTGGGCTTGCACTCGGCCACGCTGGCTTCTGAGTCTGCTGGGGCCGAGGGACACACTGGACAGACAGCCAGCCTCGTCCTCACACTCCGCGAGGACTGCTCATCTACTCCTCGGGAGGCAGGGAGGCAGGCAGTGAGCAAGTGAGCGGAGAAGGGCGGTGGGTTGGGAGCCGCTGTGGGGAGGGGTCCTTGCGATGAGGGGGGCCCTTTGGGTCCAGGGCAGGGACCTGCAGCCAAGGGGAGAGCAGTTAACCACAACTCAGCAGCGGTGAGTTTTCTGCGTTTGAGAGCAGAAGGGAGCCTGGTGTCTGGGAGCCCACTGTGGAGGAGAGTTTGTGGCGCTGAGGCCATCCTGGGCTGGGGATTTTATCCCCAGGGCAGTGGGAAGCCCTTCCAGGTAGGCATGCCTGTCCCAGATCATGAGCGAACCACCCTGGCGCCCCGTCTCGATGGTACTGACAGCGGGAGACCGGAGGATGGAGGGACACTTGGCAGCGTAGAGCTGTTTACCTTTGACCGTCACGGTAAAGCTTTGTCCACAAGGGACATTCTGACCTCCGCACCCCCGCCCCCAAGAAAACAAGACAAAAGGAAGTTTATCGTTTCATTATGGAGCAAAAAATGAATTTTATGGTAATGAACACACAAAACAACTGCTCGTATGTGTGCACCTGTGTGTGTGTGTGTGTGTGTGTGTGTGTGCATACACACACTCCTCTGTGATTTCTCACTGCTGTGTGTTCTGACCACCAGTCAGCCACACTTTCCGGTAGCA